AAGAAAGAAAGAAAGAAAGAAAAGAAAGAAAAATAGTTTATTTGCACACCGTCACAAGGTACAATAACAAAAAATATAAAACAATATAACAAAGACGGCGCAAAAAGGCCAGAGCTCAGCTTAAATGCCGCGACACGAGTGTGGTCGAGTCGCGGCGCTGATTTTCAGCACTTGCCCGTGACTTATAATATTATACATATAATAACAAAAAAAATATATATAGGTACATACAAATTAAAATAAACAATGTGATGAAAATAAAAAAAAATAATAATAAGTAATTAATAATAAATCTCGCGAACTAAATGCAAAGTGGGTGTTATATTCGCCTGTGACACAGGAATATTCCTAGTATAGGCATAATATTTTTAAGATCTTGTCGCTTAATTAAGAATTAATTTTGTACCTATGTTGACCAGTGTTATTATGAATAAAAATTTTATTTATTTTATTTTTTATTTATATTGTACAGTGGCATTAAGTGCCGAAATGTGCACGTCTGTCTACCCCTAAAAGGCGTGATGATATGTATGTATAAATATGTACTTTAGATAGGTTCCAAGACACCCCATGTTTTGAGTTCGCTACAATTTTTGAATTTCAATTTTTTTTACAGGGTTTTCGATTACGAAATTCTAACTATTGAGTGAATATGTCCCGTACTACTACCCATATTCGTCCAATATTTTAGCACAGGCAACATTAAATCCTCGGTGCCAATCTTTGAGTATAATACTAACACTTAATAATTTGTTGAATATTACGTTAATCAGCGTACATACCATTGTTCTGTGTATTTTGTAAAAAACATAGATAGATCACGTAAAATAAGTGTTGTAATTTTTTATAACTCTTATTGTAATATCACGACATCTACTAACAAGTCAGAGAAAACTTGTACTGTAGTAACATCAAAATTAAATCGTAGATGGCGTTAGTAGTACCACTAAATGAAGTTATTTGGAGAATCGCAAACACCAATAACTCTTTATACATTTCTTCAAGCAGACAAAAGCCAAGCTGGACGTAAAAAAGATTATACAATTTTTATTTTAAAGTGCGTATATTAACGTCATAGTTATATTATATATGAAACGATAAACAACTAATAAAAAAGTCAGAAATCAATAACCACATCCGCAAGAACATTGTCCATTAATGTTTACGGCTCCAGCAGATGGCACAGCACCACCAAAGCTTACAGCGCCCATGATGGGGACCTGACCAGCGACAGCAGTAGTACCGGAGACTGGCAGCTCACCAAGGACCGCCACGTTGCCTTCACCGGCGCCGCCGTAAGCAGCACTAGGAGCGATAGCACCACCGTATGCAGCAGCAGCAGCAAGTGCGCTACCATAAGCAGATCCGATGGCACCAAGACCGAGGGCACCACCACATGGAGCAGCAGGAGCGAACAGAGCAGGAGTAGGAGCTAAAGCTGGGGCTCCACACCCGCAGCCAACACCGCCGAGGTACTGACCGAACACTACCTGGACCAAGCAACCTTGGATGCAGACCAACAGAACAGCGAACCTAGACATGTTTGATGTTCGTTTGTGTTCAACGAGGAGCTGAAGACTGAATGATGTTCCTACTTGTAGATCACGTTTATATAGCTCAAAAATGCATAATTTCAAAATGTAATGTTTCTGAAATTTCGTCTATTAGAAAATTTGCTATCAACAGTTTGGCAAGGGTTTATGAAATTACGTTGATTAGGTATAAATTATTTATTAATTATTGACATATAATAGTATTTTTGCACAATATGGATAGAAACAACAAACCGGCACGTATGGATGATGCTTATTATTGGCTATGTGCGCGACAGTGGCGACGCGCAGCTTTTACAACATTTGCGGAAGCTGTCAAATAATAACAATGTAAACATTATAATTTTCTTTGCAAATATAAATAAAACCAAAGATTAAAATAGTATTGTTGACATTATTTAAGTGCAACTTATTCAATAGTTTTACTGTCAAATGAATATAATAATAAAAACATCATTGTTTGGTTTTCATCATCCGCATTTGTTTCCAATTTCTGCCGTGTTGTGCGCTGCGGTCGTTATCTGTCCGCCTCTACTCGCTTTGTACCACTGATATGATAAGAAATCTATGCTTTGTACATAGTGTTTATGAAAAGACTATTTGAATTTGGAAACGTCTTTTGATTTGCAGATGTTAAAAGAAAGTTGCGATGTTAGTTAGTTTTTTTATTATTGTTTAAATGCGCTTTTCTTCCATGTTTCTTAGGACCGATTGTACAACCATCAGTTAATTCTTCTGTAAAATAAATTGTCATTGAAAGGAGAGGGGGACTTCTGGGCCCAGCAGTTAACAACGTGAAATATGTCTCAAAAAAACCGTTACATTTTTCTAAAGAAATTTACAAAATATGGTACCAGGATTCTACCCAGGAAGCGAGAAAACTTAAATTAAGATAATAAGACTAAATAATCGATTAAATAAGCCCCAGTAATCGATTATTAATAAATCGCTAAAATCTGAGAATATTTGGCTGATCTTTTTTTGTTGTGTTTGTTATGTATTATCAAGAGCGCTTGCTCGCTTGATTGCGCGTACGAAGTTGCGGGTAGAAGCTAATATGTATATGAATATCAATTCATTAAGGTTTCGTGAAATCGATTATTTATAGTGTATTTTTTTCTGACAACCCTTGGTGGCGGCTTGCGTTTGATTGACAATGACTGACAGATGTACTTGTTTGTTTACTTTTATTCTGAGTGCGCACATATTTTCCTTGTTTTATTGTTTAAACCCACGACCTCGGCTTTGCATATTATAACGGACTATTCGACGGATCTTACTACTCTGAATTACCTGACTCTCTATTTTGGACAACTGTTACACCTATCGATTGGATATCGACGACATGGATCGCTGTATACATTGTACGATTGCGATTGGTCGCAGTAATCCTATTGGGAGAAAAGTCTTGGAGAATGAGGCGATTTTAACAGTTATTCATCTGTGGCGAAGTGAGTGATTCAAAATTATGTCAGAAATTACACAAAAAAAATCACAATGTTATATTATAACCTAACTTTTACTATAATTTAGATAACTTGGTTTCTAGGAAGCCAAATTTCACCAAAGTCTCAGCTAAGTCTTGGTATTATATCCTCTTCCATATAAGGCTAATTTCATTTAGTTAACACCTGGGCCCAGGAATCTATGGAGCCATTCCCTTCTCCTTTGCCAGTTTTTAGGGCCGATTTTTCAATCGTCTACTGATTTGTTATGAACTAAAAGCAAGTTGTTTGTTGTAAGTAATAATTACCTTTAGTTAATTTATACCTCTATTGACATTAATAAGAGCAGCCTTGAGTCCGTCCTATCATTCCCAAAAGTGGATTAAACCTAGAGAGCGCCCTAGGGTACCTCAAAGGCACCCCTAACTTTTTTGGCGCCTCCGCCACTCAATGGGCAGTTGGGTTCGCGCATCTCATGCGCCTCTCTGTAATTTGGCGCTCTAGGCATTTCCGCACTCGGCTCATTTGGCTCAGGTATTTTTTTTTTTAAGGGGGGAATATCATCGAATGACTGCTCCCGCCTGGGTGAGGCGGGAGGGAGTGTCAGACTCTTACTGACTAAAAACCATCCCGTTCCTTCTCCTGCACGTCGAGTCGGAGCCCCGGTTACCCGTTAGGTTCTCCGCGACTCCGAATCGGCATCGGCCCTATTGGGCCCCATCTGTGGTGGTCTGATGGCTCTTTGAGGCGCGCGCGGAACGCGACGCGCCGTACGCTCGGGTTTGGCTCAGGGATAATATGGCTCTGACGTTTCCACGTCATTATGAAGATGTGACGTAAACCAGTCAATTTCGACAACGGCGACAAATTCCCCCTCTTTATGCGAACTATCGTTTGATGCTTAATTCTACCTATGGACGTAAGTTTGGGATAAAAGATTAACTAAACTTTAACGATACTGGTCTTAATTAACAATTATTGGTCTAATGTAATGGGTGCTGCCGCATTTTCTACCAGATGACACAAATAAAATATGTGAATAAAGAAGAAAAGTAATAATAATATGTTAGGAGAAATAATTATGTTATCCTAGTTGTAAACATTTTTGTAATTGGTTTTATTGAATGTAAGATTTTAACTTTATTATATTGTAAAACTTAACTTTGCATGCCGAAAACAGTAGGCGATGTATGTAGGATTATTTTTTATAATTATTACTACCTGTAATTACCATACTTCGTGCAAATTGACTGCACGGTTGGTGCGGTGGCTGGGCAACCGGCTGCCGTGCAACGTGTCGCGGGTTCGATTCCCGCACGGAACAACACTTTGTGTGATCCTTGTTGTTTCGGGTCTGGGTGTCATTGTGTATGTGAACTTGTATGTTTGTAAACGCACCCACGACACAGGAGAAAATCCTAGTGTGGGGCAATGTTTTTTTAAAAAAAAAAACGTTCTTATTCTTATTCTTAAATATAGGAAAAAAGTTTGACCAATCAAAACAGTTGTCAAAAATTTTACGTCCAATGCTGTGACACTAGCCAATTTCCTATTGGACGAAGAACGAGACGTTTACACTAGCGCCATCTGGTGAGCAAAAATACGGTATGCCCCATTGAGGTTGTACAACAAAGAGTTCTTAGTGTAAATTCAATGGTGAAATAATAAGTTAAATCATTTTTTTAGTTGTTTGTGGGGGGATAATCATCGAATGACTTCTCCCGCCCGGTTAGGCGGGAGGGCGTGTCAGACTCTTAAATACCAAAGCCACCTCTCCTCCCTTCACTCCTGCACTTCGAGCCGGAGCCCCGACAACTCGTTAAGTCCTCCTCGGCTACGTATTGGCATCAGCCCTATTGGGCCCCATCTGTTGAGGTCTGATGGCTTTTTGAGGCGCTTGCGGACGGCGAATTACCCATGTTAGCCGTACGCAGGCCCGTGCTTACGATGGCCGGTGATCGTCTCGTGATCTCCGACGCCCGAAGTGTCTCTTGCGCTGGCTAGGGCGTGAGGAGGTTTATTCCCACATGCGCCCCGCCTCCTCTTTAGCTAGCATGACTGCTTTGCAGAAGGAGGAGACGGCATTCTAGTCTCCCTCGCTCCTTGAGACAATGGTCTAAACCAGAGCCGGATGCGAGAGATACGCCGTCGCCGATCCCATCCCTACGGACACGACGGTGCTCAGCCCACGCATGGCACATCGCCACCGTATGTTCCACCGTGTCGTTAATTAAAAGCAATCCAATTATTTACAATGTTTAGTGAACTAAATTACTTATCGAGCAGTTTTTATGCATGAAACAGTTCGGTAGAGGTCAATGTTTTACATATCCTTTAAAGAAGTAAAGTAGTCTCTAAACATTGGAAATAAGGTCTATAATGTAGTTAGTGAAGGGCGGTCACCGGTGACCGCTTGGGGATATATGGGTTAAACAAATATCTCTATGTGTTAGTTAGTACGTGCAATGATAAACAAAACGTGGCTTAGATCTCCAGTAAAAATTTCTATAAATATTTGTTATTATTAAAATTTTTCCTACCTAAGGCAAAGGACAAAAGCTGATACCCACTTGCAACCCATATTGTAAACAGCTTGCGACACTGTGACGGTCAGCCTACTGCTGAACTATGGGACTCTTTTAAAAGGGTTTGTGACCACCATTTTTATGTTTAAGTGTTTTAAGTTAAGTTTAAGTGTGCCATTCTTCGGCACGAATGGGCCGGCTCGACGGAGTAATACCACGGTCTCACAGAAAACCGACGTGAAGCAACGCTTGCGTTGTGTTTCGTCGTGTGAGTGAGGTTACCGGAGGCCCAATTACGCTCCCCTTCCCCAATTTCCCCAATCCCTGAATCCCGAACGATCCTCAAACTCCTAATCCCCAAAAAGCCGGTAACGCACTTGTAACGCCTCTGGATGTTCCAGGTGTCCATGGGCGACGCCGATTGCTTACCATTAGGTGATCCGTCCGCTCGTATACCGGTTTATGCCATAAAAAAATACCTTCAAAATCCCGGGGCCGCTGCTGCCTATTCTCTGTCAACTGTCTGGTTTCTTAATCGGCTCTCACAACACCCGAAGGGAAGAGGTGACAGATGATATACGAGTAGGTACAATATTTAAGCACAATTTTAAATCCTATATCTACTATTATATAAAGCGGAAGAGTTGTTTAAATAAATAAATAAATAATGGTTTTAATTATTTGAATATTTGATATACTGAATATTTGAAATACTGTTTATAATTATTTGAAATGTATAACGCCTTGGTTTTATGACTGTAATGTTATACTATTTAATTGAAATAAATAAATAAAAAAAAAGTTTGTTTTTTTGTTTGAACGCGCTAATCTACGTAACTACAGGTCTGATTTGAATAATTCCTTTTGTGTTGGATAGCGCATTTATCGAGGATGGCTTTAGGCTATAAAACATCATGCTACGACCAATAGGAGCTGAGCAGAGCGTTTGAAACCGTGCAGAAGTAGCTAGTGTTTAATATACCGAAACTGGTTTCAACAGCTTCAGTTATACTAAAAGACACTCTAACTCGATGGCCAT